TGTTAGCGAGGCCCCTGCATCGCCCTGTAACACGTAGGTAAAATGATAAAGTATAAAGCGAAATATATATCTGGTGGCTTGATAGAAGAAAGGAGCATGATGGGAAATACACACTTCTTCTTCCTCTTCTCCTACTTATTCTACTTCTTCCACTTTCCATAGTTCTCCTACATATTCTACTTCTTCTACTCCATTTCTTCCATCTACAGCATCTCCTACCAATGCCTTGACTTCGGCGAGGTCCTTCTTGATTACGTCTCGTTGTCCTTGGGGAATCCTCGTGGTCGCCTAAATGAGCCTTGAACTCCATTGCCTTTCTTGTCGGATGAGGTCCTCCCAGTACGTGCCCGAACCATCGCAAGCGCTGCACTCTCATCTTCAGCTGAACTGGAGCTTTTTGCATAGCCGCTCGGACGTCTTCATTTCTGATCCAATCGAGCCGCGTTAAACAGCAGGCCAATCTGAGCCATCTCGTTTCAGGCAGAGCGAAGCTGTATTTCATGGTTTTAACTTGCGCTGCCAACATTCGCTGCCGTACCTTGAAGATCCTGCATTGACGATTGCAGGGGATCTCAGTGGACTCTCTACACTTCATTCATGCCACATTTCCTCGGCCTCTTACGGCGTGGCCCAAGCTACAATGAGCGGTTAGGTGTCAGAAGTCCTTTTCAATGGCTCCCCTGAGCCCGTCGACGATTGACTTTGTGCATTCCTCGGAGCTGAGGTTTTTGGTCTCCTTCACATTCAGCCGTAGCCCATGGGGTGCGTATTGTTGTAGTGGAGCCATCGTATATGTTCTTGTCCACGGCAATCATGCATTCGGGGAAGTTCCGTTTTCGGAGCGCTCACCAGAGAATTTGTCGCGGTAGTCGGTCAAATGCCTTCTCTAGGTCGAGAAGACTACATAGCAAAGTGTATGGTGTATGCTTTTCTCGATACTTATCCATTGCTTTTTTTCTATGAAGATGACATCCTTTGTAAACCTCTCAGGCATGAAGCCAGACTGCTCCTATGAAATCGAGACCATTTCTCTCAATTTTGAGCCAACCAGGTGCTTGCCCTTTCATCGTGTGAGCAGACAAGCTGATCTCTCAGTAGTTGGATGGCTCCATCGCGTCCCCTTCTTCTTGAGGATGGGAACGATGGCATTCCTCCTCCACGTATTTGAGAGTTTCTTCCTATGGGTCACAGTGTTCAAGAATCGGGTGGGTTACTTCATCCCGCGCTCTCCGAGCGGTACCCCATCCAGGCCAGTTTCCTTCCCAATCTTTTTCTTCCCTTATTGCTCTACGCTCCTCATCCTCCGTCCTCCAGCGTTTGATGGGGCAAGCCATTGCCTCTAATTGGGAGCTGTTTTCACAGGCGAAATCTTCGTGAAGAAGCCTGTTGGGTTACTGGGTTACTCCTTCCACCCATGCCTGAACTGGCCAGGCCTCCTCAAGTTTGCACCCACGCTGCTCTTGAGGGACTTAACTATCCCGAGGTATTGATTGGCCCTGTGATGCGCTTTATCTGGCCGATAGACAAAATTCTCTCCTTGTCGGCTATCAAGTGTCTCATACAAGGCGTGCATTCTGGTATTCCTTTCCTTCGCTACAGCGGCCTTATCGAGCCTTTTGAGAGTTTCGTACACAGGTTTTCTAGAGCTAACGTCCTCTACCAGCGCTTGTAGGCCGACTGTTACTGTCTCACAGCTCGCTGGATTTCATCGTTCCAGAACCATGCTTCCATATCCTCTCGAAATCAACCTCAACTTTGACCCCCCTCTTCCCGTTGCTATGGCCACACCATTTCGTTTGATGTCTTCTCCGTTAGCTTGACACTCAGTCCAACTTCTCTGGCCTATGATCCTTTTCAGCGGATCTTGCGAACCCATAGGGCTTGGATGTTCCTGCACTTCATGAGGCCAGGGACCTCTCAGAACTTCCCAGTAACTGAACCCACGTTCTGAGTCCCGAACAAACTTCTTTGGCCGAGGCCGTTCACTCCTCAGTAGCCCTCGGATACTGTCCACAGGACTCGAGCGGGGTCCTGGGCACTTCCAGTGACGTCCTAGCTTTGTCACCGATACTTTTTAAGACTTGGAGACATGATTTTGCGTCCTGGTTTTGAAATTCGAAAAGCAAATTTGCAAATCCGAAATTAGCATCTAGTAATACTCGCAGTTTTTCAGGTACTGGTTTCGATTAGCCTCTAAAAGACGTATAGGTCTCATTTCTAATGGTCACTTCGACTTGGAATCCTTGCTTTGTTAGTCAAAATAGACAGCCACGGAACGCTCACCCTCAAGGGCACAATGGTGATTTGGAGCAGTGGTACTGTTAACACGCTTAATATGCATGAGACCATGGATAGAATTCTGTGAGGGATTTGGTTTTTGTACTTCGCGAATCTTTTTGCTCAAGAAGAAAAAACTTTTCCGAGCTTTAGCGTTTTTTTGACGGCTTTAGAAGATTCGACTCCTTTCTAAACCGAACAATATCACCACTATCTCACTACCTACCTGTGTGCATCGCTCTCTCTGTAGGATCTCTGGAAGAAATGCACAAACAGCGATCAGCCTCGCAAGCGGCCTACACTAAGTCTCTGCTAGAAGCCGCTTGTTCACATTTATGTCTTGCCTTTTCGCCAATGGCCACTTAACGTTTGGTCAGAAACTGTTAGTGTTAATCCAATCCTGTTGTCTATAGATTCTCCACTACTCCATTTTCATATACCTAGCTTTGATAAGAAACCAATGATGAGATTCAGAAGTGGGAGCACTTCAATTTAGGTTCGCATCCTCATAAGTATTGCTGGTGTGAACTGTTGAGCATTTTTGAAAGGTCGTGTACTAGCAAGGCTGCCTAAATAAGAGCAATCAAAAATGATGAAAATTTTGACTAACAACCACCACCAACCGCTGCTGTCTCTGCTCGTTTGGTGAAATGTTAAAAAATATCACCACATGCGCACGTGCTAGTGATCTCAACTTTTGCGTAGACTATCACCACCCTACCCTCCCCTCGCTACTGCTTGTCCTTGAATCCGTACATCAAAACTTAGATGACGCGCGGCTGATTTCTTGCGCACTCACTCGGATGGGTTGGAGACGTCTGTGAGGTACACTCTTCCGTTCTCTTTAGTACGTAATCTGAACACACTGTGAATGTAGAGTACATGAGATGTGCAAAGAAACTATGACCGTACTGGATGACTTGGATAGGAGCCCAACCAGGAGGTAAACTCGGCATACAGCTGTCTTCCCATCTTTGGGGAAAACGCTCTGCAAAATGCGCAGAACCCGTCCCCTACAAAATCCGAACCGTGACCTCATGTACAGTAGCGCTCAAAAGTCTTCGATGAAATGGTTCTTCAGCCAAACTCTTTAGTCGTAGCTCCTTTTCTACTGGATCTAATCATGCGAAATTTCTATATATGGAGCGTGGGTGTACTGTGAATATTTACCACTATTAACCTGCAATCTGACCATGTTCCAGATGTTCCAAAGAGCATGAACACAAAATCGACTGAAAATACAGATTATGGTCTCGCAAAATTTGCTACCGCTACAAACACCTTGCTCTATCTGTGGATGTTGCAGCTTTACAGTCAAATGGTGTTGGGTAGGGTGAAATATGCTCTAGTTACGCATATCCAAACTTTGCACGACTTGGTCTACTAATAAAAAAGTTATGAACGAAAAAGCGTCAAAGCATTTCACCGAAGACTTTTGAGCGCTACTGTATATAGTATACAAACCGTTCCGCTTACCACTACTGCAAATCGCCCTGTTGCTTCCGCCCCCTTAGTGCGTGCTTGCGGTTGGCACTTACCTGAAATTACCTTCATAACTTTTTTCAGAGAATCTTTGCCAACTCTGAAAAGCAGATTTGAAATTAGCGCTTAAAAACCGTTTCGAGGTATAAGTCCCATTTCGAATAACCACTTCGATTTGGGATCCTTCCCGTGGCAGTATTTTTATGTGCTCTGGGCTCCTGGTCGACGAGCTGCTGTTTGCAAGCAACGAAGTGGGTTTGTAAAAGACAGCAAGCAGAGCCTAGGTCATAATACGTGCTCACATGGTCGCACAGTTGGTACGATTTTGCACCAGTCAGGCAACGAGGGTATGTGATGGTGCATTACATCCTCGATCAACTGTTTTGGCAGAGTGACAGTGGCGCTAAAGAAGAATTCGACCAATCAAAGTTCCAAACAGTATTCGATCGATCAAAGTTCCAAACAGCAGCGAAACTTCGAATTAGTCGCACTCAGAGGAGCGCAAGACGGAAGTTCGCACCATCTTGTACGGTCAGTTCAATTGTGTGATTACAGAGCTGGTTGTGGCCTTGCAATCTCGAAAGACATAGTTGCGGACTTGTAATTCACAACTTAACAGGCAGACATGTACAACTATGCGGTACAAAATTCTAAGTTAATTCAGGAACAGAACAGCAGCATGAACTCTGCTGCCAGTGTTGGCGGTCGAAGTTTCAAGGGAAAAATTGCTGATTATGAGAGACCATTCCAAGTTTAGTTCAAAAGACCAACGTTAAGATCATAACATCTATGAGCACTGCTTGAAAAGTCCCATGTATCTTATAGAAATGGTGAAACTCGTTGTTTGTATTGGGGTGCAACACCGCAGTAACGATCCCATTCCGTTTCCACTGTAAGGAATCGGACACACAATTGGAGGAGCAATCTTTACGGCGTATTACTGGCTACTGCGTGGTTTTGGTTTCCACTGACATTCGTGTGGCGATAGTAGTATATGCAGACAAAGAGCACTATGACTGAAGGTCAGGAACGAAAAGCTGCTAGGTGATAATACTAATTGAAGGCATTATGATAATGCCTGCCGGGATTGAATAATAAATTATTCTCCCTAGCTGAGCATGGTGTTAGATGAGAGATGATGAGACTTCTAATCACTTATTCACTTACAAGATTGATTTGAACCGATGTATATGAGTGTTCATATTTAGAACAAATCGGTCAGCAGCTATTCAGACAAAGAGATGGAGCAGAGACCCTCACAAGCTGGACAAGCGGCGGCTGCCAGACGGGAAACCGTCAAACGCATTGGGGACCTTGCGAAACAAATTGTGCCAGAGATGGAAAAGAAAGGACAAATAGCTAAATTACCCGTGAAGCTTACAGATGGTGGGTAGTGATAAATGGTTTTCCACTTGAATGTCTTTATTTTCTCATATCAGCCGTGTATTACCCGGCAGAGGGGCATGGCAAGGTCCGATTCTGCATAGCGTGTGGAAAACACGGTAGTTACCGTTTTGACAGACATCTACTTAGCCAGCACGGGATCTCAAAAGTAAACAATTCGCAGCTCTATGAGGTAATAAGGTCTCCGCATTTCCTTCAGATTTTACGAAAAATTTAGTTATTTTTTTAGGTGTATGAGCAACTCGGTAGAGGAGTGCTGGAGAGAATGAAGGCTGCATCCGTGGATTTGTCGAAGATACCGCAGCCTCGGAATCGTGGGGAGTGGTTAATATTTGGCGCCTTCTACTCTCAACTACAGGATTGCGGTATCCCGCTGCTTAATGACGTATGTTAGACACTGTTCAACTGTTCAACTGAAAGTGCTTACTCGTTATGGTATGGAATTCATCTAATTCAGCAGCAAGAATTTTCAAGTTCACCTCAGCCGGAGGAAGTGAATGTATGCCCTGTAGAAGGAGGACCATCCCATGTAGTTGAAGAAGGGTCAGAACAAGTAATAAAGGTACGTAACAAGGTTAGCTTTCACAGTGTGTTGTTCACTGTGTCACAGAATCTCCATCACATGTTTCTCAGGATGAACAACTTCATCAGAGATCGGTACCACCGACACAGCGAGCGCCGTTTATACCAAGAGCTAATTTGTGCATCACTGCCAAAATAGCTGACGATCCCGAATATCGAGGTGAGCTCTTCAAGTGCTGATGGGCAGAAATTACATAGTAATGACCTGAACTAGCTGAAATTGAGGTTGTTTGACTATACACCACGTGTTCACGGATGCTCCAGATAAAACACTGATGTTCGCTCATGAATATGATACCTTGGACGGAAGTGAAGAGGAAGGAGAGCAACAATATTTTGTTCAAAGGTACCCAGTTTTACAACGGAGCATTGGCAGGTTCGGTGAGTATTATATGAATAGTCAAACAATATCACTTTTATAAACTTACTCTTACAAAGGTTCTGACACATTTTGAGTGGACCAACACAAGTATGACTTATTAAGGATGGATGAGTAAGGTAGACCAGCAGCTGAAACTGTGGAGAAGACTGAGGACCGAACAACATCCCATATTGCAAAGTTACTCGGAATTTCTCAGAAAAACAACGGTGAGAGGATGATCAGCGCAATTCGAAGGCTAAGGAGGCAATTGACACTAGACTTCATTGAGCAACCTTTGATCTGATTGATTCGCCTCCAATACTGTACACATTTCTGTCAGATCAGGCGACAAAGTCTCAAATTACTGTGCGAATGCACAAAGTGAACTGTTATTCTCTATAATTTCAAACAGTTTTTAACTAAAAGTTGAGGAAGGAAAGGAGGAAGATGAGAAAAATTCAGAATCAGTGGACGCCAGACATCATGAAACACCCTATTCACTATAGTTCAAATGATAGCTACGCACTAGAAATACTTCTAAGTTTTTCCCACCAGATGGTTTGTTGGCGCCAGGTTATAATGATAGATTTCTACCTCAAAGATTAACACGAGGAAATTAGATGCATGGAAAGGAATTTTCTCGTTGATTCGGGAAGTCGGAGGATTCATGTACTAAGCAAAACAAAAAGCTTTTACTCCAGTTCAAATTTGTCTGAACATATGTATATGTTATAATATATGTACATTAGTTGTTAGTTGGGATTTCTCTTCAAAAATCCACCTGGATTGCTTTCTGTTTCTCTGTAAAAAATCGGTAATGAACTCCATCCAGGACTGAAGAATTTGTCCATTTTTCAAAAATTATTTTTCTTCGGACTAAGCAAAATCCATGTAATCAATTTATTTGAACAAAACTGAACCCGTCGCGAATGTGGACGTATGCGTGCCTGCGGTCCATATCTTGCTGTGGAATGAACCCTCTGCTAGAGTGCAAATGTAGGCATAATTGTTTCTGAGATGTCTTCCTATCCATACTTGTCCAGAACTCCATAAATTTGGTGGAGAGGTCCGATTCCGTGGACACTGCGGCACCCCTAATTCGTCGCGTACTCTAAGCCATACTGCTGACGATTCCAACCAATATGTTCATGCTCCCACCTGACATGAGCTTTACGATTCTTCTCAGAAATAAATGGTTCTTTCGTAGGACGCTCTTTAAAAAATTTGGCACCTTGTCGACGTCTCCGAATAGTTCTTGTCTAAGATATCTGTCTACTACCAACGGCCAATTCCCTTTCGATGTCGGTGGAAGTGAGCCTAAGATTGTTTTGATTGAGATTTCAGAAAGGGGCAAATGGTTGACCTGCCACGTAGAAAAGTCTTGCCAGTTCCGCTCGTTTATTCGCTATTCGATTCCTCGTAGAATGTCATTACAAACAATGTCATTGCGAACATCAGCTGACAGATCTGTGCTCTAAGAATCTTGGCCGTATGCTAGATACAATACACTGCAGTGGAATTGAAAAATCTCGGCTAGTCGGCTGAACACGCAGAATTTTCTGCTGTGAACCGATGCCCTGAAAAGCGAAGGAGGCAATTTTTAGTTTCTTACGAGTATTAATGCCTATCGAAAAGCACTATGAATCTATTCGTAAGAAAAGCTTCTGAATTCTAAACGACATACCTGTACCAACTTTTAGAGACATACCTTCAGCGATTGTGTGGGAGAAGTTCTCAGAAAACTGTCTCTTCATCAAACTCTGGCCACCACTGCATGTAACTTCCCCCATAGGCGCTTTCTGTTTCTACAGAGCCAGCACGTCCGCCGCCCTTCTAGTTCTTGTTCTCTCTCACGTTCAATCCATCTGCATCTATTTTTTTTACTGCATTTAAAAGCGTGGAAAATCTTGGTTGGCTACCGTTTGCCAATTCCTAGCTGAATCTACGAACTCTAAAAAGCGCTATTATTTTACAGTCCGTTGCTGTGCGAAAAGAAGACGATGTGCAGATACACCAAGAAGTCAGGGACTCATGTAAACCTTATGTGAATAATATTGGAAGGTTTATGCTGGTTTCAATGCGTTCTAGAAGAAGGTAGAAAATTCTTAATGTACTTCTCTGGGGATTGATACATTTTTTTCTGTACAGATTAGGGGAGACCATGTCCGTCGATGACGCAATCTACTCCTGCGAGATCGTGAGAGATTTTTTCGCTAAATTACAAGATGCAGGCGTTCCTGTGGGTGTGAGATCGTCGTTTGCAAAAGCAGTGCTCTCATTTTACAAATTCCTGCAGCTGAGTGTTGGTGTAGGTTCGTCATTAGCCCAGTAAAATTCACAAATAGAAGGTTATTGCATGATGAAATAATGCTTTCAAGGAGCTGGGAGAAGCAGACACGATGTTATTGAGAACGCGATCAGATGTGCTGAATATGAAGTAAAACGAGCCAACGATGAGAAAAAAGAGATCATGACATTCAGAGATATCGCTGAGAACAGGGCGCAGGTATACTCATCCGCACAAACCTTCAAAGATAATTTATGAGAACGCTGTCGTATCTAGGAAGTAGAACGTTACTGTGTGGTAAGGACAATAGTAAACTGTCGGCAATTAGAGAACGGAGTAAGGACTATAGCGCAGAGGTTCGAAACAACGAATTCTTTACAGCGACTAGATTACTGCTTCGTGATGAGGTGAGAAATCAGTGCAGTCCTTGCAAATAACTCACAAAGCGTGAACACATATATAAGAAATGCGTTCCAGTGCTGTTATGGCGTATCTGGTACACTGTAATGCAGCAAGGAATGAGCTGACATATAAAACGCGATACGGCAATATATACGGAGAAGACGATGTTCATGGGCTACAAATTGTGACCTTCAGTGATGAGAACTTGTTGCAGTCAGAACAGTTCTGGGTAAGGGAGATGGAATTTTTGAAGGTACGAAAGTCTCATCCGGCGATTCAGGTTGGCACATATCCACTACCGAAGCACTACAATAGGGTGCGTGAACCGACAAGCAGAACCGGCGGCTATTTCGTTGTCGACAAAAAGTGCAAGGAGTGGTTGGATCACTATGGAAAACTTCGTGAACAGTACGCTACTAAAATGAACCCTTTTCACAGAGATGATGACGAACACAATTACTAAATCTAGCGTATGTCGCCTAAATGGTATCCAAGACGCCTATGAACCGCTGAAGGCATTCTTCATTCAATGGAATGGGCGTGATGTAACACCTGAAAGCGCACGAAGTCTTATGACAAATCTATTCTCAAAGCTGGGCTGTGGAAATTTGAAACTGAGCTGTAACACAGTTAGTGTCCATTATCCATTTTTAATTTGTCGAAAGGACTTTGCATTCATTGATATTCGTTGGTTCAGTCGAGACGAGGTGTGGCACGTATGGAGTATGAAAAACACATGCGCTCGAAAATGGAAAGCCTCAGCTCAGGAAACTTCGCTGATAAAGATATTTCTAATATACAGTGTAAGTAAAGAAAGATTGTGGTCCAGAACTCTGTGGATGTATTTATCATTAATGATTACACGATCTTATGCAGCACACCGACAAAGAACACAGGAAGAAATATATGTGGATCGTTACCAGATATCCTGTGTCTACGGCTATATTAAATTGAAGCTTTACGCTGAGCAAGAAGCCAACAAGAGTCATGCGATCAGAGCGCGCGTAGCCGAAATGATGGAAACTTTGAAAGAACCTCCAGCGTGAGTCAAAAACTTAGTCTAATTCTTCGAAAAATATATCATCCAACTAGTGACTATTTGTAGAACTGTATCACGGCTGCCGAAGCAAGGACACAGCGCGGATGACGAAGAGGAAGAATTTGAAGGTCCCAGCGACCTTGGGATGGAAAGTGATTCTACATCGGACTTATCGGTCTATAATGATATCATTGGTGACTACGGCGAAGAGTTCACAACTGATGAACCTATTAGACATGAACCTGGAACAAGTTCTTCAGGTGTGTCCACTTTTTCATCTGCTCCGTGCTTTTTTAGGTGCTGTACAACATAATTTAGATGTTTTCCCATCCGCATCAGCAAAATTCCGAAGTAAAAAAATGAGGCTAAGTCCAAGCAAAGACGACGCCACTGAACAATTGGATGTAAGTAGTGACGACATGGAGGACGAAAACCTTAAAAGCGGCAGACGTACAAGGCGAAAGAATGCTAGAAAAGCGGTCCCTACTAGTACCGATAGGTATGAACAAGACTCTGGTGTTTCGCCAGCGACTACGATAGCACACATTAGTGCGTCACCAGTAGTAGTTTGCAGTGAATCTGAAGGTATGTGTACAATAAAAAAAGACATGATTTCCGGATAACAGTTTGAACTATTATTCAGGCAATATAGCAATGCTGTCCAAATACTCAATTATCAGAAGAAAAACGAAACGTGGCGAGCAGGAGACAGTCATGAAGCTTCAAAAGAAAGAAACAGTTACTCCCGCAGACATCACCGTGGCGTCTTTGTCTCCATCTACGCAAACGACCTTGCCATCAGCAAGAGCAACTACGCTGAGAACGATGGATGAAGAAGGACGAGAAGGAGAGGGGATCAGACAAAGTGGAGTGCTGGCTCGAGGAGCTGCGGCAAAGGCGCGATTCCAACAAAGTGAGGAAGCGAAGAAACGAGAACGCTACGCATGCCAGTTGCCTGAGATAGCTAATCCTGCGAAAGTGCTTGACTATATGCGGGAGTTCAACAGCAGGCAGTACTCAGGAGGGTTAGGATACTTCCAGGATGAATACGAGCAGCAATGTTTCAATCTACGGCGAGTAGCTCAACCGATCCAAGTAAGATGGCTCTATGCTTGTATATGGGAGACAAGCACAGCATCAATAAGCTCTCAATTGCAGGATTTTCCGTGGCTTGAAATACGCGATATCCCAAGTATTAATGGGAAAGGTTTATTTGCTAAAGTGAATATCCAGAAAGACCAAGTAGTGAGCGACTACAGGTGACATAAACAAATTTCACTACCTATCGACAAAACGCAATAACCAACTTGGGTATGTAGCAATATTTTTTTCAGAGGAAAGTTTGTGACTAAGGAAGAGTTAGAAGAAATAAAATCGAAAATGAACCCGACAGATCGTCTTTCAGTTGGCGACTATGAAGTAGAATTTCTTGGTGAGTAAAAGATGTTAGACTGTACGTGCGATTCTGGGCTCTTCAAACTTCATTAATTCACAGAATTTCAGCACATATCGGTAAAAAACCCAGAAGCGAGCTCAAAAGCTATTCAATCTTGGCACACAATCCGATATACAAAGGTGCAGTGACTCTCGGTCGATTATTCAACCACAGTAGCAGGCACCCGAATCTATACACTGAACGTTGCGATAGATGGCACGCCGCGAACCAAGGGCAACAAATGGATCTCTTGGTCCTATTCAGGGCCAAACGAAAAATACTGGCAAGAAAACCACTCCTTTCCATTCACACCGTTACATTTAGCAGATATTTTTTTTATTTCAGGCAGGCGAACAGATTCTATGGAATTACGGAAAGGAATATTCTACTAGGAATTCAACTATGGAATGCTTATGTAGAAAATGCATCCCACACCTCGGTATCGTTGTTGACTCAAATATAAAACTTGTAACAAAGCAAGCCGTCGCACAATTACTTTTGCAGTCTCATCCACCGACCTTCAAATTCCTGTAACATTCCCTCGAATGCTGAAGTTCATTCCCTTGGACGATGACTCTCACTCGCAGCAAACGGGTACCAGAATTGCGCTGGCGAAAAAAATAAAGATTGATACACGAACCGTGATCACTGCCAGTAATGTTTTTCGTTCTTTGAACGTGAAGACTCGCATTCCTGGCCTCGTTCCTGATAACAGCCCGAATGCATTCGCGGACCTACTCAATGTATATCGCCACAGTCGGTTGATGTTTTTAGGTTATGAGGTACATAGGAAATCTTATTGAGACAGTAGAATTAAATCCGCAGTTTCGGTATTTTATCTACAGAAACACTTATGCTCAGGATGACTACCCTACACGAAGTGATCTCGCCGAAACGCCGCCAAATGCGAACACATTGCTGCAACTATTATGTGTGGCGTACAGAGATGCATATGAAAAGAGTAATCCTGTGGTTCTGGTACTAAAACATGGAGGAGGTCGAACCCGACTCATGCGCAAAAAGCAAACGGCGTTCGTCGTGTTATTGGGAGAGATCATCGGTCCAGTCCAACGAAAACGATATGGAAACTGTATTATTTACGACGAATCACAGGATAGATGTCAAACTGTGGTAAGTGAGCAAACCAACTCGTGCCATGATGATGTGAATAATGTAGCAGAACATTCACTTCCAGATCGAACAAACTGACGACAGAAAATCGGAGAAGTCATTGTTACAAATATTTGGTGAGGAAAGGCTCATATACTTCCCACGAGCACATGAGACTATGTGGACAAGACTGCNAAATCAGCTGCACATTAATGTCGACGAAGTCCTAAAAACGATGGATGAGTTCGATCCTAATCGGTTTCAACAGGAACATCTACAGCAGGCATTGAGCACGATGAAATGAAGCAAGAGTTTATATGTTCTGTATTCAACATAGTACTATTACTTTTCGAGTGAAAAAAGACTTTGCTTCTTTTGCGAAGACTTTGCGCTTCTTTCTTCATTCTGTGATATTGGTTTCATGAATAAAAACAGTAACTTTGTTAGAAAAGATACTGCTTAACAAAGTACGCCTGAAATACTGTGAAGCGAAGGAAAACGTCACCTGCATGACCTGACGCCTAGTTGATCACCGCTATACTACAGCAGGCCTAACAACCTCTAATCATGAGATTCTGTCGTGATCTGTCCAGAGGCATTGTTCAATTCAGCTAGCTCTCATTCCACTTGCACGACCTTCGATGTTCATAATTTGTCGTCTGCGAAGCGGTGGGGATGCAAGTAGTAGCCATTGACCTCTGCCACAAGTCTCACCTTTTCAAATGACGCATCATTAATTGTAGAGCGAAACCAAAAATAGCCCAGCGACACCCCTCCACGTTGACCTTGACGTCTTTGCGAGTGTGAAGAAGCAGAAATGAATGAAGGATACTGCAGAATTGCAAACATATCAGAATAGAGTCGNAAAAGGTTGAAACTTAAACTGAGAATATTTTGCTGATGTCTCAGGTGCTCTCCTCTTAAGCCTCGGCCAAGAGGTTACTTGCTATGCTAACGTTTCCGCCTGTCGCTTTCGTCAAAACCTAGAAGCCAAAAATGTTTAATCCTGCGCGGAGATGAATAAATGTGGAGGCCAGGAGACCTTTAATATGGGGGATTAAGGAACACCTGGATCGCCTGAAGAGATCAAGGCTGAAAACACCCTTGAAGGACCTCAGGAGGCATTGCCACAAAGATGTAGAGTTTGAGGTATCTATCAGGATCCTGACGCAGGGGCCACGACCTCAGCGTAAGAAACTTTTGAAGCCTTCAGATCATAACAAAAAATCCCATAATAAACCTTAAATGCTTTGCCTTAAGTATCAAGCTTGTTCCGTTCCTCGAAATGTGGGGATTTGAATGCAAGCAGCGTTGAACCAGGGGCCAAGACATCCGGAGCCTGCGGGAGGTTTAAATGCGCACACTGAAAAAGATGGTCAACGGACTTCTTTCGGACATCTAATTTGAGGTACCTGTTGAAATTTGCTAGACCTTTCTAGNACTGAAAAAGATGGTCAACGGACTTCTTTCGGACATCTAATTTGAGGTACCTGTTGAAATTTGCTAGACCTTTCTAGATACCCATGTATAAGCTACCGTGAACTTAGTTGGTGTTTAAATGTCCTTTGATCAGGATGAATCCTAAATATTGCTTCTATTATAGGATCTGAGGAAAAAAACTGGCCGAAACGTTAGTCTAACAAAAATTGTAACATTTTAGCCGAGGCTCTAGAGAAGAACACATGAAACATTACAATATTATGCTAAGATTAAGTGGCAGTCGAACACGGCTGCTATCCGCTGCTGTTAAAAACCGTACCACCACACCTTGAAAGGGGTGAATAGAGCAAATCTCTCGAAGAACATTTGAAAGAGAGAAAAAGCTTGAGCAGTCCCTTTAGGTAACTTTTCATTGGGCCTTTAATAGTATAGAGGCATGAATCGAAAAGATCATCGGGATGGGATAATCATTCTGCCGCTTCCTGTGAAAGGCGTAATGAAAGTAAAGGTCGGTTAACCGGCTGACATGGGATCTGCTTTTCGAAGCAGCGCACCATGGCCCTGTCT